AGGCAGGACTCAATTTACAAGACTGGACTGTGTCCTGAGGCAATCTCTTGAGATACAAAAGACAGAAGTGAGCAGAGAGAAGAGGGGGACCTCATACCATCAAGAAAGCAGTGCCAGGAGCAGAGCGCGTCCTTTGGACCAGGGTCCCTGCGCCGAGAAGCTCCTAGTCCGAGGGAACACTGATGAGAAGGCCAAGAGAGAGAGAAAGCCTTCTCCTGGAGCTGACACCCTGAATTTGGACTTTTAGCCTACTTTACAGTAAGGAAATAGACTTCTCTTCATTAAAACCATCCACTTGTGGTATTTCTGTTATAGCAGGACTAGATAACTAAGACAGGGACTAATCCTGATGTTTATTTTATTTTCTTTCTAATGGGATGTCAGTTCTGAAGAATAAACAGCCTTTCTTGAATCCAGAGTTATAAGCACTTATTTGTCTAGATAAAGTACAGAAAAGAAATATTGTGTGCTGCGGCCCATAAGTCATCATCATGGCCTTTCAGGTAAACTACTGAGGATTTTTACTGTTCAACTCACTGGAACACAAATTGGTAAACTGAGAGCTAACTGATCATGGCCATTAAAGCAGTCCAGAGCTGATACTCAAAATTTTATTCTAATCTGAAATGACAACATCAATTACCTACAAAAATGCCACAAGAGGGGATGCCCAAGAGAAGGGAAGTATGTATCAAGCTTTTCAAGCAAAGCAACAGTTCAGGAAATTGGTAAAATTCATTCAAGTTTTCCTTTTTTTTTAATCATACCTGCTAAAAAAATTGAAAGCAGTGACTAAGATGGCTTCAAGTTCCAGTTCTGAAGAGCAGAGGTCAGAACCAAACTTATAAAGTGGAGCACATTTTGGCTGGATTATTGCTCTAGCTAACACTAGCTCCCCCGTGAGTGCTTGTTTCCAACTTAAAATTGCCTGAAGATGGGGTAGGTGTCCTCCTTGCTTCTTATTGTCACTTCCAGACCTCTCCCCCTCCCTCAGCCCTCTTTGAAAATCAAGCCCTCAGGCTATTTTACCTGCTACCTCACCTTGTAAAATGCCATCTACAAACCCAGAGTTCTCTTTCCCTCATTTCTTAAGAATTTTTTAGCACCTAGATCACTGCCATTCTGTCTAACACAATCCATGTGATAATTTTTGTTGATTTCAATTTCCACCTAAGTGATCCTTCTCAGTTCCTTAACCTCCTGTCTTTCAGTGATCTTGTCCTTCATCCTACCTCAGCCAGTCATACCCATGGTTACATGGGAGTGTCATTTCCAAGTCGAGCAGACTTTCTACTTTTTCAAGTAATTCCTTTTAATACTCTTATTCTTACAAATCTTCAACCACATTGGGTACTTCCAATCCATTGATCCTATTGCCTTTGTTTTATTCTGTCCTTTCCCCACCTCGTGTTGTAACTTTTCTCCTTACCCAACTTAAATACATGGTCCATCCTTATAACAGCTCTTGATTTCACCTTGATGTTCCTTTTCCAACGCTCCCTTGATCCCACTCCCTTAGAAATCCTTAAACCTGGTTACATCCAATTCTCCTTTGGCTCTGTAGCTGTATATACAAAACTGAAAGTTTTGGTAAACATACATTTGGGCTGCCTGATTTCATTTTAAATTCATGGCCTCTAACTTTATGCAGGCTCTAGTGCTGCCTGGCAAACAATCCTTCAAGGCTTTCTTATACACTCTCTTCTACACAACTGCGTCGTATCTTTTCCTCTTTCTTCAAAGCTTCAAATCTTTCCTCTTCTCACTCTCTCATAATAACCTGGCTTTCTGTCTTACTGAGGAAGCAGAAGCAATTAGAATAGAATTTCCATTTGTTACTACTCCACATCTACCCATCTGCTTATGTTTGAATCCATATTCTCTGCATTCCTGCCTGTTACTCTGTTTGAGCTGCCTTTGCCCCTGTCTAAGTCAAAACTCTGCACTCCTAGAGACCCAGCGGCAGAGAGTCTACTCGGCTATCCAGAACCAGTGAGAAGTAGCCCTCGATCAGCAAAAGATAAGTACTTGTGTCTGGCCTACCACATGGATCAAAAACACCCCCCTTAGGGAAAAACTTCTCTCCCATTTACCTCCCTGCTCCCTGCTCTACACTGGGTCCAGGATGGCTTCAGTGATTGCCCAGTCACCTGGGCCAGAAGTAGGACCCATCAAGTGCCTGAGCCACTCTCCTGGCCTTGGAAAGGGAACAAATTAACAAACTGGGGAAAAAATAATCTGCTGGCTCCCTTAAGCCGGAACTCAGGGTAGGCACAGCTCCTTTACCTAGGCACAGGAATAAAGTATCCATGGACTTTGAGTGCCTTTCCCCCTGCATAGACTTGTGTGGGCCCATTTCAACAGCATAGGCCATCATTACCACAGTACAACAGGGTATACACCTGAAGTCTAACTTCAACTGTTTCAGCTGGGAAGTGGCAGGTTCATGACATTTGACACTGCTCTGCCTGTTAAGCAGGGTCTTCACCTATCCACGTCAGGGGCCTGAGGTCTTGTGGCTCCACACATGCCACCTAGCCACCTGTGACAGGGGCCCAAAAATAAGAGGTACACCCCTAGTCCTTACAGCCAACAGCATTGGGTGCTCATAGCACAGCTGCAAAACCCACCTGTCTACGTGCTCTAGGGAACAGGGACACGCTTCCCTCCCAGACACTAGGTGGTGGCCATCAACTCCCTGCCTTGCTCAGTGTGTGTCCCCCTGCTGCAGCCGGATGCCTGTGCCTACACCAGTCACCCATGCTTGTCTAGGACTGTAGGTGAGAGCCTGCACCACACATTTGGTGGCCGACTACCTGGACACCTAAGCTGAATCCATACAGGAGGAGTGGGCAGACTCCTGGGCTCACATACTTACTGGCAGATCTGGCCACCTGGTGGCAGAATGCTGAAGCTTCAGGGGTACCAGTGATCGGGCTAGCTTATACGAGCAGCATATTTGGGCATATCAAAACAAAACGAAACAAGAAGTTAGGACACAGTAAGCAAACAGAAAATAAATAAATGTAATAACTTATTGATGGCTCAGAGACAACAGTCAATATCAAGTCACATAAGCAGGCAGACCATGATGGCTTCAGCAAGCTCCCAAAATAAAGAATCAAGAAATTTTCTAGAGTAAGAGAAATTTCTTGGAAATATTGGAGGCAGAATACAAAAGATTAATATACAAAACTCTTCAAGAGATCTGGAAGGAAATGATGCAAAATGCAGACCAAGCAATAGAGGGACATAAGAAGATTATAAAAGAGCATATGAGAAATTTAACATAGAGACAGTAATCAGAAATCCAGAAGATTAACAATAAAATTTCAGAATTAGACAACTCAATAGAAAGTCACAGGAGCAGAATTGAGGCAATAGAAGTCAGAATTAGTGAGATTGAAGATAAAGCACTTGACATCAAATTATTTGAAAAAAAATCAGATAAAAGGATTTAAAAAAATGAAGAAACTCTAAGAATTATGTAGGACTCTATCAAGAGGAATAACCTAAGAGTGATTGGAGTACCAGAACAGGAAGGGATAACAGAAAATACAGAGAGAACTGTTGAAGATTTGTTAACAGAAAACTTCCTTGATACCATGAAAGAGGGGAAGATATCTAGCCAAGATGCTCATCAAACCCCACATAAGGTAGATCCCAAAAGAAAGTCACTAAGACATATTATAATCAAACTTGCCAAAACCAAAGATAAAGAGAATTTTA